GGGGGCAGGGTGCGAGGTTCAGTGCGGAGTTTGCTAAAGACAGTGCAGTGGAAGAAACTTTCCTATATCGAAATATATTCGCTTCCTGGGCTCTGAGGAGGAAAACAGCGGAGGAGAAAGTTGCGCAGAACGTCATGAGCATCTGCCCAGGCCCTGCATTTCAAGAGCAAGAGCTCAGCTGTTGAAGAAACCTCAGAGGCCTCCAAGCCAGACGGTGGCCTCAGCCCCTGGCCTGCGCTGCACGCTCCCTGCAGGGCGGAGAGGCAGGCGGTGTGGAGGAGCCGGCTCCCCACTGCGGCGGGGACCGGATGGGAGGAAGGGGGCGGAGAGGGGAGTCCCGTTCTCACCCAAGCTGAAGAGTCTGACGCGGCTGGCCGAGCGCCGGTACCGGGAGGTCCCTCCCTCCCCCGCGGCCCTGGGCTGTGTCCCCCAGGGTTCCTAGGAGCAGGCAGGGCTCAGCCACCCCAGGACCCAGGGTGGCAGAGCAGAGAAAGGGTCCCCTCCCTGCGCTGAGCCCTCGGTGCTCTTATCCGCAAAATGGGACGACATGACCGTGTCCCGGAATCCGATGGCACTTTCTGACACGGCAGCTTCAAGTCCACCCCACAGCCCAGGCCTCAGACCCGGGTCGCAGAGAGTGCGCACCTAAGGGCCGAGCAGTGGGTCTGCTGGTCACCTGTGAGTGGGTTTCGGGGTGAAATGCAGGGCTACACCTTCAGTGAGTTTCGGGTACACGGTGAGTAGCCCTAAGAACCTCCCATGCGGTATCTGGGACACACTTACGGGCCTCAGAATGTGCATCCACCGTTTCTCTGAAGCTTAGGTCTACCTGGGTGTCCTGCGTGTGTCTTTGTATCTGGCGTTTCTTCCAGGGAAGCCAGCAGGTACCTGAGGCTTCCCCGGCTGCCTCGGAAATGGGTGCAGAGATGGGGAGGGGCTTTCAAAAGCTCACAATCCAGCTCCATCCAGTCGGTAGCTGTGGGCTGGCTGGGCACACGCCCTTGAACTTGAGTTTCACTTTCCCCTCCCTCGGGCAGGGGCAGAGCAGAGACCTTTGAACGTGACTTTCCATTTCCTGGACTCTGGAGACAGAAGTGGGAAACCGCTGCCGTGGGGAGGGGACAGAGCAGTTGCCTGGAGCTTGAGGGACAGTCCCCAAGCCCTGCCACTCGCCAGAGCCCCAGCCGAGACAGGAGCATGGGGAACTGGGAGTCCCACGTGTCCTCAGTCCCGGCTCCAGAGCTGGGCCGGTTTATCCAGCAGCAGCTGAGGCCCTACGAGGGCTGTGAGAAGCAGCTCCAGATGACGGTGGACACCATTCGCCTCTTCCTGCCGGGAGACAGCTTCCCCCAGGTGCAGGGGGTGGCCATGGTGAGTCCAGGGCTGGGAGGTCCAAGGAGGCTGAGCAACCCGCCACTGAGCACCTACTGCGTGCCAGGCCCTGGGCGGGACCCTCCGAGAGAGAGTGGGAGACGGGCAGCACCAGGGCTCTTAGAGCTGTCAGCTCTTCCTGCATGGCTGTGTGACGCCGGAGAAGCTGCCTAACCTCTCTGGGCCTCAGTCTCTCAATCTGCAAAGTGGGAGTCAGAATAGAGCTTGCTCCCCCATACAGTGCAGTGGGCTGGCACAAATGCTCAATATTGTGTCTGTCCTCCTACACTACAGGAGGTAAACTGAAGCCGGAGGAACTTAGAATAACCTCTCCCCAAGGTGGCCCTGTGGTTGCTCAAGATACAGGAGAGGGCTGGTGCTCATGGGTTAGGAATGTTTGGTGCCAAGGGCCCAAACCCCAGGACTGGGGCTGCAGGTGCTGGAGCTGGGCGGGGGGGGGGGGGGGGGGGGGGGGGGGGGGGGGGGGGGGGGGGGGGGGGGGGGGGGGGGTGCAGGCAGGGCCTCCAGCTCCACTGCAGCACCCCGTCTGTTGCTGTAATGCAGCTCCTGGGTGAGCTAACTTCATACAGAAAAGGGGTTTATTTAGCACACAGTGTTGGGTGCTTAAAGGCCAAGTGGCGTGGCGCAGGGTAGGTGGAGGATCCAGTGTCACCAGGAAGCCAGGGCGGCGGGGTGGGGTCTCAGGACCCCTTTGGAGGACCCGACCCCAAGGGACCCAGGGCCTCTCAGGAGGTCAGGCTGAGAGCCAGCGCTGAACCTGGTTCCCTAGGGTTCACGGCTCATCCAGGCCACAGCAGCCACTCTTGGCCCACTTCCCTGTAGTCCTCTGCTCGTGGCCATAGACACACCCACTGCCCCAGCCATTGAGACAGTGGGGAAAGTGGGGGGCCGCAGCACCCCCAAACTGAGGCAAGTTCACTTATTTAGTCACAAGTATCAGAGCTGAGGGGGCTGGGGGTTTAGCTCAGTGGTTCCACCGCCTGCCTCGAAAGTGCCAGGACCCACCCGAGTTCGATCCCCAGTACAAAAGAAAAAAAAAAATCAGAGCCAGGCTTGCAGTCATCTGCCTGAGACAACGCGTGCCTAACCACTAGGCTAACCTGCCTGTCAATATTAATATGTTTCCCACACTGGGTGTGATGGCTCACGCAGCTAATCCCAACACCCAGGAGGCTGAGGCAGGAAGGTCACCAGGAGTGTGAGGCCAGCCTGAACTACATAGCAAGACCCTGTCTGAAAATGGCAGCAGAAAAGAAAGTTCCCAACCCCACCCTGAGAGCTCTGGTCCCCCATCCAATCAGCACCCCCAGCCCCAGGCATCCACCCTCCCAACTTCCATCAGTACAGGTTCATTATGACTGTTTTGAAACTTTCTGTAACTATTGGGTGATCAGCCATCCCAGGTTACCCAGGATGGAGGCTTTTCCTGGAATGTGGGACTTTCAGTGTGAAGGCTTGGAATGTCCCAGCTAAACCAGGACAAGTGGATCACCCTAGAGAAATGATGTGGTACCTTGTGTGCACTTTGGTGTATGGCTTCTTTGACCCATCACATTTATGAAATTGATATTGCTGTATAGGTGAGCATCATTTTTCATTGTCGTATAGTATTCCATAGTGTGGATATACCACATTTGCATGTCTCATTGCCAGTGGCCATTCTAGTTGCCTCCAGTTTGGGATCAGTCTGTAAAACATTGCTATGAGCATCCCCACCAGCCCTTTGGGTGGACAAATGGACACTAGCCGTTCAATTTTAAGATGATAGTGACATTTTTGGCTTTCACTTGATTTGAGAAATGCCACCACCTGCTGGAGTCCCCTGTGAGCTGAAAGAGTCGAGTCTCATATCTGCTCTGTTGCCGGCAGGGTGGCTCCTATGGCAGGAAGACAGTCTTGAGAGGCGACTCCGACGGCACCCTCATCGTCTTCCTCGATCACTTAGAACACTTCCGGGATCAGGTGAAAATCCAAGACAAAATCCTCAACGCAATCACGCACCAGCTGGAGGAGTGTCGGCGCGTGCGGACGCTGCCAGTCCAGTGGGAGACGCTCAGGACCCCCAAAGGGCTCTCTATCGTGCTGTCCACGAGGTGGCAGAAGATCACCTTTGAGGTGCTGCCCGCCTTCAACGCCCTGGGTGAGTCCCCGAGGGTGGGGGGCGGCCAGAGGGGGGCGCAGGGGTCTCTGGGTCCCCTGTGCTGGCAGCGGGAGGGACAGCCCTGGCGCCTTCCGGGTCGGGGGGCCTGGGCCCTCAGGAGAGCAGGTCCCCCACCTGGGCTTCCTGTCCGCTCCCAAACAATGTGGACCCCTGAACCTAGAGTTGGGGTTTCAAGCCAGTGCGCACGGGGTCCCCAGAGGCCCGGCGAAGCCTCAGCCGAGACCCAGAGTGCACGGCCACCCCTGAGGCTTGCGAGCCGGTCGCTGGTGGAGGAAGAGGATGTAGAGCACACCTGGGGGCTCCAGCTCGGGCCTCTTGGAGCCAGCCTGTCCCCGGGGAAGTCGGTCCCTCCCCCTGAAGCCAGCCTCTCTTCCAGGTCAAGGTCAAGGTCAAGACAGCCTTCCATGGGAGACTCTGGCAGAGCAGGGAGAGCGAGGCGGACTCAGACCCAACCCCTCCTACCTCCCCAAGACCGCCCCCCCCGGCCTCCTGCCCCCCGAATGTCCCCAAGGTCCTGCCTGTCACTGCGTAGCCGGGTTGCAACCCTGGCCTCCCATGCCCCACCCAGGCCCATCCCACTCTCCTTCCTCTGCTTCGCCTGACCAAGGGCTGCCCACATGTGGCAGTGGGTCTCCCTGCTGCTCTCCAGTCCCCATGCCACTGGACGCTGTCTTTTCAAGTGCAAATGTGACTCTGCCACACACGCCGCATTACGCACACTGACAGCTTCTCGTTGCATCAGGGGCAAGCTCCTCAGCTGGACGGGGTGTTGACGCCCCCTGCTTGCTCACCTCTCTAGCCCTAGCCCTCAGCATCATACTGAGCATCACCCAGCTCCTCAATCCCATCATGCTTCACTCAGCTCCAGACTGTGCCTGTGTTGTGTCTTTGTCTGAAATATTCTTTCCCCAGCCTTTACTTGTGGAGAATTCCACCTCACTTATGTCCTCTGACCTCCTATATCTGGTTAGACCCACCTCCTCTGTGCTCAATAGGAATTTCTACTGCTCTCTTGATCATGGGATACACCGACACAAGATAACTTTCAGTTTTCTCCTCTCCTAGTCTGTGAGCTCCATGAGAATGGGCACAATGATTATATTGTTCTTCTCTGGGCTCTACTACAATGTTCATTACTTGTAATAGTTGTTAGATGGATGGATGGATGGATGAATGGACTGACTGCTGGATAGCCGAATAGATGGATAGGTCAATGGAAAATAGGTGAGTGGATAGATAGATGGAAAATAGGTGGATGGATGAATGGATTAATGAATACATGGATAGCTCGCTGGATGTGTAGAAGGAAAATGGATAGAGTGTTGATGTAGATGGGGTAGATGAATGGATGGATACATAGATGAAAGGGAAATGAATGACATGTGGATGGAAATTGATAGATGGGTGGATAGGTGGATGACTCATTGGATGGAAAGATGTGTAGATGGATGGATGAATGGATGATAAATGGATGGAAGGAAAGGAATGATGTGAATGGATAGATGGATCAAGCAGTTGATTGGTTGATTGATAGGCAGATGGATGATGGATGAATGAGTGGATAAGACTCAGCATAGTTATAGCTCAGTCTGAAGCACAAGGATAATATATTCACAGACTTAAGGAATAGAAGTTCAAACTCTCCTTAAACAAGTGGGGAACCGGAAGTAAAGGAATGTGTCCAGGGCAGCATGGCCCATTACTGACAGAACTAGAAGAAAATCCCATGTTTTCTAACCCCCAGGCCACGGCGCTTTCCATCCTCCACAGTTTTAGGGAATTTCTGGGCTGGGAGGGACCTTGAAGAGCAATTAGCCCAGCCATCAGCTGATAAGGAGACAGCCAGGTCAGAGAACCATCACCAGGAGGGGGGGTGGGCAGCCCTGAATACCTACCCTGGTCCCACCCATCCCACCAACTGTAAGATCAGACTAGAAACAATCCATGAGGATGCTAAGCACTGTTAGAATGCGCCTGCCTCAAAGAAGGGCTGGGACAGGCTTGGCTCCAACTTCTCCCAGGAAATCTTGCCTGCTCTCAAGTTATTTTAAGTATGGTGCTTTGGCTACCAGGCCAGAGCGCCCTCTGCTGGATCATGTGAGAACCAGAAATGCTCTCCGCCCCCTCATGTGGTACCTAGACATGACCAGCAGATGGTGCTAGAGCTGCACATTCCAAATGAAGATCCTTTTTCTAGACGGACTCTTCAGGGGATTCAGAAATTGCTTTCTTTAGTAAATGTGAGCCTGATTCATTTGGCCTCCCTTTTCCACCACGTTCCACTGGCCTCCTTCAACTCACTCTATTCTTCTGCTGTTAGCATCCTGCTGTCTTCTCACCCAAAGAACAGGCCTCCTCTTTCCTTGACTTCCCGGTGTCAGTCACACACCCGAGAAGAGCGTGGCGAGGTTTGCCCGTGCCGGGCTAAAACTCCCTGGAGAAGAGTAAAGCCTCAAGACTCTGTCTGGAGATTTAAAAAAAAAAAAGCTTCCTATCTGAAACTGGCCTCTGTCTCCAGCCTCGAGGCCCTGCCCTCACCTTCCCAGCCCCTCCAAGGCCCCCGTCCCCCTGACTATGAAATTGAAAGCCCCGGATGCGCTCAGCGGCAAAACCCGTCCTACGTGATACTCAGTTTCCCTTTCCTCCGCGCGTGCCAGTCAGTTAAGGAAAGCGCTCTCGGTGCCCATTTGGAGCAACTGCTTTCCCATTTGCGACTGCATTTCTCATCCCTCTCTGTGGTCTCCGGATCTTGTCTTGAGTCAGTACTATACTGTTTTCTTTTAGTTACTTTATTTATTTATTTAAAATAGCAAGATTCTTTTACAGACAGGGCCTCATCTGGTTGGCCAGGCTGCCCTTGAGCTTGCGATTCTCCTGTTTCAGCCTCCTGAGCGCCGGGGTTACAGGTGTGCCCCCATGCAGGCTGCTCATAGATGCCGCTTTATTATCTACCTGGGACGGCCAGCCTGAACCACAGCAGCTTCTTACAGATTACGCAGTGGCCGTGTGCTACCCAACCGGCCCTGACCTGCAGCGCTGACCCACTCTGACCCTCTGAGCCCAGGACACCTGAACACCAGGGCCCCCGTTTCTCCTTTATATCAGGTTTATGTGAAAATCCCAGCCCCTGGCTCTATCGAGAACTCATCAGATTCATGGACGAGACAAAGGCCTCTCCGGGAGACTTTGCTGTCTGCTTCACCCAACTCCAGCAGAAGTTTTTTAATAAGTATCCCAAAAAAGTGAAGGACTTGATCATCTTGATAAAGTACTGGTATCAACAGGTAATTTTCAAATTATGTATTCTTCTCTCATTCACTCCCTTTTTATTGATATAATTGACATCTGTTTATATTACATACTTTAATAATATTAATAATTATTAATTTTATTATTTTATTATTAATATTATATAATATTGATTATATTCAGATTCAACAATCTGAAGTATACAGCTCGATGTACTTTTGCATCCTCAGCAACACAAAAATCAAAAGGGGAGCCTTTCCTGCACCCCAGGAGGCTGCCTTAAGCCTGTCCTCAATCAGTAATCCCCCAAACTCCTTTCCAGCATCAGCCACCACCCGTTAGTTTTATTTTCCAACAACTTTTTTCAGTGTTTGGGCACAAACCCAAGTCCTCACACATGCTAGGCAAGCACTCAACCACTGAGCTACACCCGGAGTCCACCCTGCCCATGTTGAAATACTGCCGCTAGAATCAACATTATGTCTGTGAGACTCAGCTACACTGCTTTGTGTAGCACCAGTTGTTTTTTGTTGTGTTATATTAATGTACCACACATTTATCTTTTCTGTTGCTCATGAATATTGCATCCTTCCCAAATTGAAGTGTTATGAATGTAGTGTGAATATTTTCCTGGGTGTCTTTGTGAGTTTAACCCTGCATTGCTCTTGGGTGAAAGTGCAGGAGTAAAATTTCTGGGCTCTGAGATGCGTGTGTGTGTATGTATACAATGTCTTAGTTATGTTTCTTGTTGGTGAGACAAAATATTTGACACCTACAGTTAAAGAGGGAAAGGTTTGTTTAGCTCATAGTTTGTAGAGGTTTCAGTCCATAATTGGCAGCCTCCAGGGCATGGTGGCATGGCAGAGGAGAAACAGTTCATGGTGGGTAGAAGGTAGCAGAGCAAGCAAGGGAGAAGACCAGCCTCTTTCTGTCCCTTATATTATATCCAGGTTACCTGGATTAGGGTTGTGCCAAGCCAAACAGTGGGCTGATTTAGTAATCACCCATCCTTAATCCCAGCACCCTGAATCCTGGCACTGCACCATGACTCAATCACACACTCTAGATTCAGCCACCTCTGAAAAAGCCCCACCTATGACTGCATGAAGTTTGGGAGGAACATCTAGACACAAGCCACACCACATAGCCACATGGCATATGTATGTACGTTTATGTATTTGGATCCATGGAAAATACACATTTAACTATTTTAATTAATAGAAGTTCTTATGAACTCAAGCAATATTTTTACTGGTTTTCATTTTTCATTACAATTGACTCTTGACTTATGAACTCAATTCATTTGCAGGGGCAGGTTGTAACTCAAGTTGGTTGTAAGTCAAAACTATTTTCCCATAAGAACTAATGGAAATATACATAATGCATTCTGAACCTCCCAAAGCACCCCTTAACTACCCTTTTCATAATAAAAAAGGGTTGTATAATGTGCATAATTTACCAGAAACACCAATAATTTTCCTAGGGTATTCACCAAAAAGTTATAAAATGTACCTAGTTTACCAGAAATGACAATTTCATGCTGTACTCACCACTCAAGTTGACAGCTTTGGCTTGCAGGAAGGGAGGATGAAATGGAAGGTGGTTGTTGTTTGGAAGAGAGTCCCCTTCCATAAGAACATCAAGAATCTAGCTCTCTGGGGTCCTTTCTCTCCTTGGGAGAGTCTGTAGCCCACTAGGACCTGCTTCTGGCTCACTAGGTTTAATATTTTCAGAACTAAAAACTGGTCTAAGGTGATCTGTTTCTGTCTTTTCTTTAACACTGTTCTGTAGTATGACGTGACATTGTCATTAAGCAAGTCAGTGCAATGAGTGGCTTTTTCTCTGAGTGGGTCTTCTCTACAAATGTTTGTAGCTCTGTCCATTTTTTCAGGATTTCCTTTATTTCACAAGAACTTTGCTGCACTGATTGTTGATACTCCCCCTCCTCTTCAGAAAGCTCCTCAGCTGCCATTCTCTGTTGCTCAGCCAGAAGTTGCTGAAGTTCCTCTGCAAACAATTCTTCTGTGTGTTCCTCCACCAGTTCCTCAACATTGCCACTGTCTACCTGTGAGCCTGTGGACTCTGTTATAGTGACAGTGTCATCAACCACAGGGTCAATTGAAGGCTCAGGCTCCTCTACACAGCCTTCAAAGTCTCTCTCCTGTATAATTTTAGGCCACACTTTCCTCCAAATAGATCTCAGTGTCCTTACAGAGACATTGGCCCAGGATTTGTCAATTAACCCCACACAGGAAAGGATGCTGTAGTGTTCCTTCCAGAACTCTTTAAGGGTTAAATCTGTACCCGAGACCATCTGGAAATACTTCCAGAATATTTCCTTGGTGTATAGCTTCTTAAAGTTAGCCATAACCTGCTGCCCCATAGACTGCAGATGAGAAGTTGTATTATTAGCTGAGAAGAACCCAACTGAGAGCCATGGGAATTGTTCAGCCAATTCTTCTTCCAAATCTCATGGGTGAGCAGGAGCATTGTCCATGATTAGCAGAGCCTTGAGTGGTAAACCTTTGTCCTCTAGATATTTCTTAACAGTAGGACAGAAAGCCTTCCTGATCCACTCAAGAAAAAGTACTCATTACCCAGCCTTTTGCATTAGATCTCCACATGACCCCTAGCCTATTCTTTATGACTTTAGGTTTTCTGAGGACTCTAGGGGTCTCAGAGTGATAAACCAAGAAAGACTTTATCTTGAGATCACCACTCGCATTGGCACATAGCAATAAAGTTAGCCCATCCTTCATAGGCTGGTGGTCTGGCACTTTCTTCTCTTCCTGGGTCATGTATATTCTCCTGGGCAGTTTCCTCCAGGAAAGGCCAGTTTCATCACAGTTGAAAACTTGATGAAAGCAAGAGCTATTTCTCTGTGTCATCATCTCCAAGTGGTGTATGTAATTTTCAGCAGCCCTTTTATCAGCACTGGCTGCTTCACCATGCCTAGTTATGCTATGAATCCTAGTCCTCACTTTATATTTGTGAACCCACCCCTTATTGGCATGAAATGTCTCACCATTATCACTCATTGATGGATTTTCCTTTACAAGGTCTGCATTTACAGCCTGAGCCTTGTCACACATTGTGGAGTGAGCTAGGCTATGACCTGCCATCTGTCTTTCTTTTATCCACAGTAATAACAGCCTTTCTACCTTGCCTAACACTGTTGATCGAGACTTACTGCTTTGAGGAATATTGTTAGCAGCTCTAGCTTCCTTATACAGACCTTTGCTCTGTAAGATGTCGAGATGCTGGATTTTGACACACAGTACATGGTGAGATCAGTCACACAAATGCCACTCTCATATTTCTCCACAATTTCCTTCTTTTCAATTGTGATTGCTATCTTTATCTTTGCTTCCTTCCTTAGCTTCTTTTCTAGCTTTTTGAGGGCCATTTTGATAGCAGTAATCATAGCAATTATATAGCATTTCTGAAATCACGTCCACAAACACACGCACCTGGGCTCAGGCTGACACGTATGTATGCTTTTCTGGCATCATGAGTCTTTGTTTACAACTGCACAAGCAGCCGGATTCAGGTCATAACTCAAGACTTTGGTCATAAGTTAAAACTGAAATTCCAGTTGTAACCCAAGTTGTTTATATGTAAGGCCAGTCATAACTCAAGGGTCCACTGTACAGGTATGTGTTGAGTTTTATCGAATTGTATCAATTTTTTAATTTTAATTTTTATTGGTTTATGTTTGCAGTCCATAGTGTTTGCATTCATTGTGTGGGGTTGGTGCTTGTACATAACACATTTTAGTTCCTTTTTCATCTCCTTTCCCTCCTTCCTCTATCTCTCGGTCCCCTTTCCTTTTGCAAAAGATCTATCTTTTATTTTGCTCTTTATTTAGATGTGGGGTTTCTCACATAAGAGGAACCAGGCAGTATTTAAGTTTGTGTATCTGACTTACGTTACTGTCATGGTTTAGGTCTACATGTCCCCCCCAGAGCCTCGTGCAGTCATAGGTGGGGCTTTTTCAGAGGTGGCTGAATCTAGAGCATGTGACTGATTCATGCTGCGATGCTAGGATTAAGGGTGGGTGATTACTAAATCACTGATTGGTTCCACACCATCCTAATCCTGTTAGCCTGGATACAGTATAAAAGACACAAAGAGGCTTCTCTCATCTCATTTGCTTGGTTTGCTACCTTCTGCCCACCATGAACTGTTTCTCCTCTGTGATGCCACCCTGCCTCGGAGCCAGCCGATTATGGACTGAACCTCTGCAAACTGTGCGCTACATAAACCTTTCCTCCCTTAACTTGTGAGTGTTGGATATTTTGTCTCACCAATGAGAAAAGTAACTAAAACGGTGATGGCCCCACGTAAATATGACCAGTTACCCTAGTGGTGTCCCAAGCTACACTCCCATGAGTAACAAGAGAGTTTCAGTTGTTCTGTATCCTTGTGCTACCCTCAAACCTTTGAATTTTAGGGATTAAGGTGGGGGACAGTGACTCCTATAGACTTCCAGTTTCCTGACTTCAAACCTCCTGAATTAGTGCCACCCCTGTCTCCTCCCACAGTGCCAGAAGAAGAGCGGGTCAAATGTGCCACTGGCCACGTATGCTCTGGAGCTGCTGGCTGTGTACGCCTGGGAGCAGGGCTGTGGGGCTGAGGACTTTGACATTGCAGAAGGTGTCAGGGCCATCCTGGGGCTGATCCTGAAGTCCCAGCAGCTGTGTGTCTACTGGACAGTCAACTACAGCCTGGAGGATGAGACTGTCAGGAACAGGCTCCTAGGCCAGCTCCGGACCCAGAGGTACCCTGCTTCCCACCCCAAGGTGCACCCCAAGAATGAAGTCTCTGCCCCCCACCTCTGGTCAGCCAGGAACTCAAATGAGGCGCATGGTGCATGGGGTGGGAGGAAGGCAGGCCTATGCTTTTCATCTTCCAAGCCATGGTCCTGTTTTGTCCTCAAACAAACACTGCAGAAGTGCTTTGCTTTCTAGAAGGAAGGGGCTAGGAGAGAAAGGGGGCTTCCAGGAAGAGGAGGCTCCTCTGTGGCTTTGCTAATGGCCTAGGGCATCTCCGTTTTCTTTTTTCTTGGGGTGCGGTGCTAGGGATTGAACCCAGGGCCTTCACACTGAGCTACATCCCCAGATCATTTTTTTGTTTTGTTTTTTGTTTTTAGACAGGTCTTGCTAAATCTCTCAGTTGCCCAGGCTGTGCTCAAACTTGTAATTCTCCTGCCTCAGCTTCCCAGAGTGCTGGGATTATAGGTGTCAGTCTCCAGCTTAATGATTCAATTTTGAAAAGCAGAGAAGGCAGAGCCAGAGGGGTCAAGATCTTCTATGGAGCACCCTGGCAGCTAACAGGGTCTGCAGAAATCAAAATCCAGGGGGCCAGGTTCTCATTCGAGACCCTCTCCCCAAAACTGATTTCTTCTTCCACAAGCAGCTCCACTGATCTTGTATCTGGTGGATTCACAGGCCAGTCATCCTGGATCCGGTGGATCTAACCCACAGCGTGAGTGGCCACATCCCCTGGCTGGAACTACAGGCAGATGCACAAGGCTGGCTGTCTTCGCTCAGCTCCACCCCAGCATGGAGTGTCCTGGTAAGGGGGTCCCCGGGGCATGGCTCATCGTGCAGAGACATCGTGCCTGTGTTAGTTACTTTTCTCTCATTTCTGAGACAAAATACCAGACTCCCAAAGTTAGAGGGGAAGGGGTTTATTTGGCTTACAGTTCATAGAGGTTTCAGTCCATAATCGGCTGGCTCCAGGGCAGGGATGGTGAACAGTTGTTGCAGAGGAGAAACAACATGGTGAGCACAAGGCAGCAAAGGCAACAAGAGAAGTTAACCGCCTCTCTCTGTCCCTTTATCTTATTCAGACTACTTAGGGCCTGTAGCACTCACACCCTTAATCCTAGTGCCCTGGAGCCTCGAATTGCATTATGAATCAATTCCAACTTCACACACTCTAGATCAATCCTATGACCACATGAGGCTTTGGGGAGACCTCTAGACCCAAACCATAACAGTGCCCAACACCCACACACAGGCCCACCCAAGGGCACCCAGTCTTGGTTTCCTGTGACTGCTGTAACTGGGGGGCTTGAGACAACAGAACTTTATTCTCCTACAGCTCTGGGTGCAGAAGTCCAAAGTCAAGGTGCTGGCCAGGCTGTGCTGTCTCTGGGGCTCTGGGGAAGACCCCACCTCTTCTAGCCTCGGTGGCATTGGCCTTCCTCAGCCCATGTCCTTGTCACTCCAGCCTGTGCCTCCTTTGTCTCATGTCTTCCCTGTGTCTTCACATCATCTTCCCTCTGTGCATGAACGTCTCGGCATCTGTCTTCTCATAAGACCCACAGTCACAGTGGATTAGGGCCCATGCGAATGGCTCAGCTTAGCCTGATCATGCCCTAAAGACCTCATCTCCAACGCTGTTCCTGGGGACGGCAGGTCAGAATGCCTACGTCTTTTACCAGGAAACCCATAGGGTTCTGTCCTTCCACTACAGTGACTGTGACATGCAAAAAGGAACAAAGACAAGAGAGGCACGCACAGGAAGCAGAGAAGGGGGGGTACCAGAACAAGAATACACCTTTCCAGGCCCCAACAGGGAACCACCTCCAGCCAGGCCCCAGCTGCAATTGTGAAGTATAGGTAACAGGGAAGGGGATGTTGCCAGAATCTCTACAGTGGGTAGAGATACAGTGCAAGGCAAATTAAATAAAGACAGGAAACTAGACTTAGAGGGAAGAAGCTGGGCCTTGGGACCTGATCGGTGCTGCTCTAGATAGCAAAGGCCCCCAAGCACATCCAGTATTTATGGAATACAATTGTGGGAAGGAATAGGGAGCCAGGTATGCTTTGAAGGCATCTAGTGAAATACTGCCAAATACCTGGCATGATGGCGCCAGGCAGGGCTGTTAGGGAGTAAGCTTTGCTTATCTTCCTTGGATAGAACAAACCAGTACTGGGACCAGGTGCAATTAGCAAGCAATCCATTGGGTCAGTGAGAAGCCACAATTCAGGGGAAAGGATTTTAATTGAGGTCACTCTGACCTGAGCTGCACGTAACTCAGCAGAGCCCTGCCACTTCACAGACCAGGACACACGTATGTGCACACACATGCACACTCACACAATGTACTCACACTCACACATGCACACACACCCTGCATGTTCTGCCCTGTGTGGGGGCCTCACTACCTTCAGCAACTATAAGGTCCACTTCCAACATCTGGGGGGGTCACTAAGGTCACCCTTTGACTGTGACGTGGGTGCCCCCACACCCCAGCTGAGCGGAGCCGCCTTTTCTTGTTCACCAGCAAGGGAACAGCATCTGCTCACCCCTGTGCATTCACCTCCTCACACTGCTGGTCAAAAGTGCCCCACATGTAGTAGCTTAAGACAACTAAAATGTCTCATCTTATAGCTCTGGGGATGCAGAGTCCAAACCCAGCCTTGTCGTCCTGGAATTGAGGTGCAGCGGCTCTGGGGAAGGGTGTCTCTGCCCTCCTGACTTCCGGAGGCTGCCTACAGTTCTGGGCTGCAGCCCCATCCTCCATCCTCAAAACCAAGGGCAGCGTCTTCTGGTCCCTAGAGCGCCCCACTTCAGTCCCCACATCGCCCGCTCCCACTCTAAGCCTCCTGACCCAGGGTGACACTGGGGCCCTCTGGGTAACCCAGGGCCCCTCCCCAGACCCAGGTCCTCTCAAGCCTCCAGGAGAAGCATCCAGGTCTCCTGTGGGCAGGAAAGAGAGGAACTGGGAGCTTTCATTCTGGGTTACTGGCACCCTAAACTCAGGCTGCTCGTGGGCTCTGTTGTTTTGAGGACTAAGGCCGGAGTACCTGCCTGTCCAGGGCTGGGAGCAGGAGAGAGGCCCAGGCAGGCAGGGAAGGAAGCCCCGGGCTGCCTCTGGGGAGCACATGGGCTCTCTGCTTCTCCAGCCAGCTCCGCTCTTCATGACCCCGGCCCATCGGCTGGACTGGTTCATCAAGGACTTTCTCCAGCCCAACGAAAATTTCCTCAAGCAGACCTTGAAAGCTGTGGACATCATCTGTAAGTTCCTTAGAGAAAACTGCTTTCGACATTCAACTACCAAAGTGCAAAGCATCATCAAGGTGAGCGCGGCCCTTCTCCCAGGGCGCTACTGGAGGGGAGCTGGGCGGTCACCCCAGAACCTTGAGGGAGAGGAGCGGGAAAGTGGTCTCCAGTGGCGCTGTGTGTGGGCCAGCTCCGTCCCCAGTGACCCGTTTCCCAGGCCCGGTCTTCCTCAGCGCTGGGGGGTGTGCAGCGCCTCGCTCTGGTTGCTGTCTGTCTTCACATCCCTCCTCCTCTATGGGTCTTTGTCCTCTTGTCCCCTAAGGACGCTTTTCATTACATTCTGGCCCCACCCTAACCCAGAAGGAGCTCAAAGTCTTTAATTTAATCCCGTCCGCAAAGATGCTCTGGCCAAGCGAGGTCACATTCAGGAGTTCCCTTCAGACTCATCCCCTGGGGCCACATTCAGCCTGAGCCTCAGCCAGAAAAGGGCCCCTCTCCTCTGTCAGTTCAGAGCCCGGCGCCGCCCGTCAATGGAGCTGCATTCACAGAACTGGCCACTCCTGTCCACGGCTCCAAGGCCACTGCTGACACGCCTGCTTCCCTCTGTGGTCGTGGGAGTGGATGGGCGTTTGCACACAGATGTGCACACGCATGCACAAGGCGGTCACTGAAGGGAGGAAGAGAGTGTTCACATGTGTGGGAGAACATCTGGTGTGCAGCCGAATGCGTCCATGTGCAGGCCGTGTGCGTGCTGCACTGAGAGGGGTCAGGGAATCCCATGAGCAGTGAGTAAACTGCCTCACTGAGCTTAATCGTAGTGAAAACAAGACTGAGCGCAGGACCAGCGTTGACTCGGGCACCATGGGGCGTGCCTGTAATCCCATCTGCTCAGGAGGTGGGAAGGCCACAAGTCCAAGCTCCGCCCTCGCAACTTAGAGAGAGCTTGTCTCAAAATAAAATAAAAAGGAGGGCTGGGGGTTTAGCTCAGTGGTTTCGCCGCCTGCTACGCAAGTGCAAGGACCTGAGTTCGATCCCCGGTACCAATAAAAATAACAAGGCCTGGGTTCTAGCTCAGTGGTAGAGCACTGTTCTGGCACACACGGGGCCCTGGTTCTGTCCGCAGCACCACAGGAAGGGAAGGAAGGAAGGAAGAGCTGTGGGAGCACATGTTTTCTCCTCTCCTTCCTGACACCCCATTAACATGATAGTAAATAAAGAAGAAAAGGTCTGTCTTAGCCGCTTTTTTCCTTGTTGGGACAAAATACCCAAAACCTGCACCTTAAGGGAAGAGTGGTTTATCTGGCTCACAGTTTGTAGAGATTTCAGTCCATCATTGGCTGCCTCCAAGGCAGGAAGCTGGGACAGAGGGGCCAGGCAGGGGAAAGCTGCTCACCTCATGGCATCCAGGAAGTAGTGGAGGAGGGAGATGAACCCTCCCAGGCCACGCCCCCCGTGACTGCCTCTTCCGGCCAGACCCACCTCCTAAGAGCGAGCCAGCTCTAAGGCCCATAATCCAGTCACCTTCCAAAAGGTCAGGCCTGGGAGCACATGGGCTCTTAGGGGACATCTAGACCTAAGCCATGGCAAGGGTTATGGCCATGGGAAGAGGACGAGAGCCATAGGGCAGTAAGAAATTAGTGCCTGTCTTCTCAAAGTTGGTTGCAAGTGATAAAGGACTCTGTGAAGGGGAGAGGAAGGGGTCCCCTAGAGTAAGAGGGCTGCAGCCAGGGAAAGGCCAGCAGTGCCCACCATTCACAGGTGGGCTGCCTGCATGAAGGGGGCTGGACAGGAGCCCAGGAGGAGCCATACCCAGGAAGTCGTTCTGGCTTCCGCTCAACACCTGCCTCACCCAGTGGCCAGGCATATACTACCTTCTCTCTCCAGAAATCAAAGGGAGGAGGAAAAGGGGAAGAGGATGGAGTTAGTGGAGAAGTCTATGTAGCAAAGAATCAGTTATCCACGAAATCTAAAATATGTACAATCTGGCCCTTCACAGATAGTCCGGGGACCTCTACACCCCAATATTATTCTGCAGACTTCAGGAAGAGACGGCTACATCAGGCACCAGAGTAGAACTTTCAGTGCAATCAGTTTGATTTTTTTAGGTGAAGGAGATTCAAATAAAGCTGATTTCCTTAGGAGAAATCTTTAGGGGCTGACTTGAGAAGTGGATCACTTACACCTGGCCCATTGCTTGTTGGTGTCAAAAGGACACAAGATGAACTGCCTTTGAAACACATTATCTGTTAGGTTGTGAAGTGAAACCTTCCGCCTCCCGTGACCCTGGAGCCTCATTACTGAGCCTCTGCAGCGAGGCCCATGGGGGCTGGGGGTGGGCAGGAGATGCTGGGACTCAGCCTCCTTCTCTCCCCAGGGAGGGTCAGCCGCCAAAGGCACCGCTCTGAAGACTGGCTCCGATGCCGACATCATTGTTTTCCTGAACTCGCTGGAGAGCTTCCCCTCCCAAAAAACCTATCGGAGCAAAATCATCCAGGAAATCCGCCAGCAGATGGAAGCCTGCCAGCAGCAGCAGGCATTTGAAGTGAAGTTTGAGGTTTCCAAATGGACGGCTCGCAGGGTGCTGAGCTTCTCGCTGAAATCCAGAGAGCTCAATGAAAGCGTGGACTTCGACGTGCTGCCTGCCTACAACGTGCTGGGTGAGGCACCCTGACCCTGGCCCTGGGGAAGGGAGGTCGGGAGGGACAGGGGCAGGCAGAAGGGAGGGACAGTTTGGGGCTCCGGACAAGGCTGGGCAAACCCGGGCCTGCTCTGGATCCGGAGCCCCCAGAGGCGGCATCGATAACGGCAGTGTTACAGTGGAACGTGCGCCTGGCTCGAGCTCGTTCTCAGTTCTTATTAAAGGATCCCATAGCAACCAGGGCCCCTCTCTGATACCCACCCCCAGTGTCACCCATAGTCTGCCAGAATGGGGGACAGAAGAACTCCATGCACATTAGTACACAAAACCACCAAGTAATGCAGACAGAGATGAAAGAACACATGCGGGAAGCACTGTGAGGCAGAAACACAGGGAATCTTAGCAAAACTCTAGAAATGCAGTTTGTGGGTGCCAGGTACATAATGGGGTGTGAAAAGAAGCCAAAGCTGTTGGCAGCATTTCTAAATCACAGTCATGAAGACCCTAGTACCTTCCCTCTGCCTGGTTCACAGTGGCTCTCAGAAAGGAACAAAAGCATCAGACGAAGATCAGCAAATGTTTTCAGTAGAAGGGAAGGTAGCAAATATCCTCAGCATCAAGGGTCATGTGGTATTTGTCACAACTGCTCAGCCACCACTGTGGATGAAGATGTACACAATACATTAACAAACGGGGTGGCCATGTTCCAATAAAACTTTATTGACTAAAATCAGCAGTGAAGGGCCGGGGATTTAGCTCAGTGGTTTTGCCACCTGCTGTGCAAGCCCAAGGACCGGAGTTCAATTTCCGGTACCAAAAAAAATCAGCAGTGAAGCAGACTTGGCCCAGGGCCATAGTCTGGGACCTGCAGAGCTGGGCACTGAGGAGCATTTCTGTGATAATGACGATCTTCTGATTCGGTATTCTATATCTGCTGAGAGCTGGGAAGATGACCCTGCAACTGAGGAACTAGATCCTAAGCTCATTCCTTTTAATGGACTCAAATGCAAAGGGGCACCCTGAGCAGCGGCTGCCGAACTGGACAACACAGCACACGCTTCTGTTAACAGCAGCTCCTGTGTTCACGTAGACCATATGCTTCTCCAGAAAACATCTTATTGCTCTGAAGACGATTCCCATACCTTAGGCATCAGAAATTCCAGTATACAATTGTGGTTCCAATAAATTTCACAGAATTAAATTATATTTGCCAAGAATGTTTCGACACCTGGTGCTGACCATACCTATTGGATAGAATGTAAATATCTCCCCCACCCAGGTCAAAGGAAGTCCACCCTCCGGGCCTATGCGGAGCTCATCCATCTGTATCAGTCCTCAGACACCGTGGGGGGAGAGTTTTCTACCTGTTTTACAGAGCTCCAGCGCGACTTCATTCTCTCCCGGCCCACCAAACTGAAGGACTTGATTCGCCTGGTGAAACACTGGTACAAACAGGTATGGCCCTTGGGTTACTGACCCTACCAGGAAGAGGTCACCACAATACAGCGCGTGTCACGGGCGGGGCCACTGGAGGGAACCCGCAAACTTTCAGCCCTGTGGATCTTTGTACAGTTCCCATCACCAACCGCATTTATTTGGGTCAGCCTTTCGGTACCCCCTACCATCAAAGCTGCTATCTGTGGCTTATTCTGCCTTCATCCTGGCCCAAGAATTGGGCAGGAATCCAAACCCACCTGCTCCAAAGGACGGATGGGGCTCAGGTGCCCGGATGTGCCATCCCCTGCATGCGCTTAGTGAGCAGGGGCGGGTGCTGTCTCCCGGAAGGCGGCCCAAACTCAGGTGGGCTGGGGCTGCATCGCCCATGTGGGAGTCCCTGCCTTGCTTCCCCTGACTTGCACACGAGGTCGTCTCTGAGTCCTTCATGACGACGACAGGCACAGGATCAGTTCTTCCTCTGTCACCGCCCTCACTGAGGCCATACGCTGTCCCCACTCTTCCCTCAGTGTGAAAAGAAAATGAAGTCAAAGGGCTCCCTGCCCCCAAAATACGCTCTGGAACTGCTCACCGTCTATGCCTGGGAGCGGGGCAGCGGGGCGGATGACTTTAGCACCGCCAAAGGGTTCCGGACTGTCCTGGAGCTGATCACAAAATATCAGCAGCTCTGCATCTACTGGACGGTCAATTACAACTTCGACGATGAGACGATACGGTCCTTCGTGCTGACCCAGATCCAGAGGCCCAGGTGCTCTGACCCCAGCCCTCCTCCCCGAGCCTGACTCCCTTCCACCCTGGCCCTGTAGCCTGGGTTCTCCCTCCCTGGGTCCTGACTCCCACCTTGAGTGAAGCTGGGCTTGGGCAGTGCTAACAACAGAGCTGTTCAGTGTCCCAGGGACAAGCCTGAGAGAATGGGGGAAGTGCTGTCTGGAGGGGACAGAGGAGGGACAGAGGCACAGGGCCCCTGAGTTTCTGTCACCGAGGTCAGAAGGAAGTGCTTGGATTTGTCAGGAGGTGTAAGAGGGTCCCTGAGGAATGACGCTATCATCATCATTCATGGGCTGATTTATTATTAGTGTTTTTATTAGATCAAGCTTGTTGTTGTTGTTGGGGTTTTTTTCGGTTTGATTCAGTTTGGTTTGGTCTGGTTTCGGCAGTACTTTAAGTCCCCAACTTTTGAATGAATGTTTGTAAGGTGGATTCATTCCTAAGTCCAACACAGTGAGTCTCATATACATTTAACACAAATATACAATGTAAAGCATAAAACACATACACACAAACTGTAAATAAGCTATTTTGACTTTTATGGTGACCTTGAAATGGTGGTACAGTAACAGCAACACTATACAGCTACTACCACAATTTGCTCACACCTAGGAATGTTGATCATGAGCCATCTGTTCTTGGCTGTGAAGGTTTCCAAGTCGAATGTTCATAAGTCAGGGACTTACAGTACTGGAAATTGAACCCAAAGCCTTCACACTGAGTTACATCCCTAGCCTTTTTTATATATATTTTTTATTTTTTAGAGTCTTGCTAAAACATTAAGTTGCCCAGGCTGGGCTTGAGCTTTTGATCATCCTGGCTCAGCCTCCCAGGGGGCTGGTAGGTATGTGCCACCAACCCTACCTTAGATCAGATTTTATCTACACTTTCGGACCTTCAAGAATATGCTTAGTACCACCTAGCAGGGAACAAAAACAAGGGAAGAAGGAGGAAAGGAAAGAGAAAGTAAAGGAGTGTTGATTTATTTTTATGTTTTGGTACCGGGGATTGAACTCAGGTTCTTGCACTTGCGCAGCAGGCGCCAAAGCCACTGAGCTAAATCCCCAGCCCAAGGAGTGTTGAGAAAGAACAGAGATGAGAAAGCATGAGCCCTCCCTGGGTGGCCCACCACAGGCTGTGCCCTACTTGGCAACATTGTATTTGATGAAAGATACATTGTATCTCAGGGAACCCACGGAGGCCAGAGTTTAATTACGCTTCCCTGTGTAGAGTAACAGCTTTCAAAACTTTGAAAGAGTATATTTGAGTGACTGATAGCTAAGATGTCAGGACACATTGTTTTATTGCTAAAACGAAGCCAGCTTCTAAATTCTGAACCCATAAATATGAGAGAAACTCTAACTTCTTCTAACCCCTCCTTTAGGCCTGTGATCTTGGACCCAGCTGAACCCACTGGCGACGTGGGTGGTGGAGACCGCTGGTGTTGGCATCTTCTGGCCAAGGAAGCAAAGGAATGGTTTTCTTCCCTCTGCTTCCGAGATGGCCAGGGGAACTCCATCCAGCCATGGAAAGTGCCAGTAAGTGTACTGTAAAGGCGGCAACTTTTGGAAGCAGCTTTGTAGCAGGCTTGAATCAGGGAATTTCTCCTGATGCAACCACTCTGAATAATTCAGCCACAAAGAACAAAAAACTCAACTGATCAGGTCTGAAGCAACCGTTCCCCTCCCTCAGTCTGTCCCAAGTAACCCTGAGGCCAAGAACCCAGGGCTCACACTACAGCGCTGTGGTGCTTTCTCCGGGAGCAGCTGTGTCCCCCCTCGGTGGCACTATTGACACGGAGGGCTGGTTGTCCTTTATTGGGTGTGGGGTGGGCACTGTGAGGGTGCTGAGCTGCATCCCTGGTCTCAGTGTCCCCTGGGGTTGGGGATGTGGCTCTTTCTGGCTGTAGGCTTGGACTTCACTCTCTTTAGTCGTTGGTCTTAGTACTCATGGCCCCTGAAACAGCAGCTGCACCTCCAGATGGTGGGTTCACCAACCAGGCTGGAAGAACAGAAAGGGAAAGGATAACCAGGCCCAGAGCACAGGGATTTTATCAGAAGCTTCGTCCAGCAAATTCTTACACTTTGCTTCCTAGAATGAATTCCCATGGGCTGTAGAGAGGAGATGACAACTGAGGAGATGGTTGGGTCTGTCAGTCTTGAGTACCTGCCGCCCTGGCCCAGGCTCCCCCTCCTGCCAGGGAAGGCTCAGTGCACCCCACCAGGACGCATTCCCACCCGGTGTCCTCGACCTTCGCCCATGCTCCCAGCTTCTTTCCTCAAAGCAGGCTCCCTCAGCCTCACACGCTTGACATTTGAGGCCAGGTGGTTCTTTGTCTAGGGCGCGCTCCTGTACATTGCAGGGCATTGATCCCAGGCTTCTGCCTACCTGCTGCAACCGAGTTGAGACCATTAAAATGTGTCAAGGAGAGGCTGAGGCAGGAGGGTCACAAGTTTGGCTCAATTTAGTAAGGCCTCGTCTCAAACTCGAAAATTTTTGGGTTCAATCCTCAATTCCAAAAAAACCCCTAAAGACATTGTCATAGGTCATCAGGGGAGCAAAAATGTGCCCAGATGAGAACCCTTGCTTTGAACAAACCCTCTGCATTCAACCATGGGCTCAGCCCATTTATCACAGTCTGCACTACTGAAAAGATGCAAATCAAGCTCTCTGGCCACAGCTTCCTCCCCAGATGCAGTCTCCAGTTTGGGGGTGATGGGCTGGATTCTCTTCACCTGTGGTCCGTACTGCTTAGGGAACACTGTTTCTCTCTAGACAGTGCAGACCCCAGGATGGCAGTGCTAGAAGAAACATCCAGAGCTCGGCTGCCAGTTGGTCCCAAAGAATCAGGATTTTTCCAAATGACCCCTCCTCTTTCCTTTCAGTCTCACCCGGGAATCCCCTGTGTCCCCCAGGGGAGCCCTTGCTTGGGTCGTGGTGCCCACCACTCTGAGCTTGCTTTCAGAACCTTCCATCTCCTCTGCTGCCTTGGCTGCCTCTTTCCTTCCCTTCTGTCTGCAAACCCTTCTCCCCCTGCCGACAAGGAGGTCCCCAGCCAGCAGCCAGCTGCTCCTCTCTTCAACTGCAGGCCTGCAAGGGCTTGCAAAACAATGGTTCCCTCACCTAAAATGCCCTGTTGCCTGCCTCCCACCCAGCAGGATCTTCCTGCCAAACCCAAAGGCTTCTTCCAAGGCCTCTAGCTTCAAGATACTCGACGGTCTAAGCACCTTAGCTCATAAGCCCCTGGTTATGGTTTTATTTCCACTGCTTCTGTAAGAATAAAGAATATACCTGGCCTTTCTGCCCAGTTCCTGGCACAGAGCCTTAAAACCTGTGGCATTTTCTACCCAAAGAATTTTTTTATCTTCATAATGAGCCCCTTTTGACCATCCCTGTGATGAAACTAGCAAGGTGACAATGTGGGCTCTGCAGTGTTTCAAGGGAGGGACTTTCAGTCCTGCCCCCAAGTCTGCAGGGAGGAGACGGGGACTACAGCTTGAGTTCCATCACAGCCAGTGATGTAATCAATTGTGCTGGAATGATGAGGCCCCAATTACCAAAGAAAGAAAGAAAATGAGAGAGAAGGAAGTGAGAGAAAGACAGGACGCTGAGCTTGGGGGCACCCTGGTTGGCAAACTCCCCAGCATCTCATCAGGAAGGACAACCATCCTGTCTCCATGGAGACAAGCTTCCGCACTCAGGACTCTGTATCTCCTCCCCTGCGTGCTGTTCACTTATATCCTTTCTAATAAAACGGTGATTGTTAGTACAGCTCTTTCCTGTGTTCTGTGAGTCATCCTGATGAGTTATCAAACTTGAAGGGTCGTCATGGGAACCACCAAATTTGCAGCCAAGTGGAACAGAGGTGCAGGTACCCTGGGGCTCCCCCTTGTGGCTGGTGTCTGAAGCCAGTACAGACCTGACAGAGCTCTAACTCTTACACCAGCCAGGTAGCTGGAGTCCAAGCTCACTTGCAGAACAGGTGTCTGCCGTCAGGAGGCCAGTGTTGGAATGCACCACTGCTCTCGTCCGGGACACAGGCCAAAGAACACGATATAACTGAGGCCGAGAAGTAAAGGAACGAGCCCGGTGTGACCGTGCACACCTGTAACCCCAGCACTCTAGGAGGGGGACAGGAGTGAGCTGAAGCCCAGCCTGGGCAATTCAGCAACATATCAAGACCCTGCCTCAACATTAAAAGAGGACTGGGGATGCAGCTCAGTGTAAAGGCCTTGGATTCAATCCCCAGAACCTAAATAAATAAGTAAATAGGAATAAAGTCAGCAACTCAAAGCCACACAAAGGCAGGAAGGGACTAATTTCAGTCTTTCACTCCAGTGTCTTCCAGCATCCAGCAGACAGTTAAATGCATTAAGAGATGAGAGACTTCACAGCGATCAAGAACACTGATCATTACCAGAAGTAGCTAAGAGTAAGATGTGCTGGTGCACATCTGTAATCCCAGCACTCAGGAGGCTGAAGCAGGAGGACCACCATGAGTTCCAGGCCAGCCTGAACGACATCACAAGACCCTGTCTCAAAAACAAAACAAAACGAACAACAACAACAAAAAACCCCCCAGAAAAATACATAGAAGTTACTAGGGCACCAGGACTTTCTCAGAAAAAAATTAGCAACTAATGGCAACTAACAGGAAAAAATTGAACTCAGCCTTTCTTGTATTTCAGGATAAACAAGCTGCCATAACTGATGATTACAAAAAATTGGGTCATTTAACAGAAGAATTCAACTTAATAAATGCTGAGAGGATGACAAAATTAGAAGCAGTTTTGCAGCCTCTGGTGAAATAAGTGATTTAGGCAGAGATTATCCACGGATGAAACTGTTAGATGAAAAGCTGATGGGGCAGCTGTGATGGGGTAGCAATGTCACCTTCCATAGCCTCAGTTAAATCACAGCATCAGTGAGAGAGAAATTATAGGGGTTCGGGTGTACCTCAGTGGAAGAGTGTGTATTTAGCATGCACAAGGACTTGATGAAGAAAAGGAAAATGCAGGAGAAAGCCAGACAGAAAGGTGGATGTGAGTTCTCACAGCCACAAAAGGAAAGTGATCCAGGAACCTAGTGAGAAGCCAATTAAGTAGACTTAACCATCAGGACCCAAGGTCTGCATTGCACACCTGGTTACCCTGGGAACTAGGTCCCACTGCTGTCGAAGGAGGCAGCAGTGATGAGAAGAGGACACACAGTGAGTGGCCAGTGGCCTGGGAGGAGTTTGGGAAGAGTTTGAGCAGCAGATAGGAAATGAGGTTCCCAGTACCAGGGGTCTGTGGATAAAAGGGTCACCTGCATCCGAATGACAGGGGCTTCTCTGCTTGGCCCAGGGGCTCCACTGCCAAGTCCAGTCAAATCTGAGCAGGGAGAAGAGACCGGAGGCCAAGGGCCTCAAAATTCATGAACCTTGAACCACTGGGGAAAATCGCTAACTCTCCTTGCCCACCAAATGTTACCTTCCTACATCAGTGCAGAGCTCGATGCAACTGTATAGAGTCTGTAAAATTAGGAAAGCCCAGGACTGCAAGTACAGATGGCTGGGAAAGCTGCAGTGATGGCTCTATGCATGGGATGAAATATTCCGAGTAGCCCCGAGCTGGGGAGGAGTAGAGAGGGGTCGGCACATGTGTAAGTAGGAGCTTGGTGGCTTCATGCTACTAGCGCCTCACCAGGCCATGGGCACTTTCCAGCCTAGACTGCGAAGCCTGATCCCCAGTGAGGAATCTGAAGTGTGGAACTGGAGTCCACGGTGACAGAGCAGAGGATTTATGGTGCTGCCACGGGCTGTGCTGGGTAGCAAGTGTGCAAAGATGAATCAGTTAGACAAAGGAGCAGTGTGGCCAGAGCAGGTGCTGGGTGGCTCTGAACTATAGCCAAGGCTGTAAATGCTAAAAAGGCATCGATATGGCCAACCTGCCTACCCAATTCTGACAGACAAACCAACGTTCAGCTGTTTCATCAGTACAATCGATAACGTCACAGTCGTCTCTCTAAGGAATCGCCTCCTGGGCCATAACAGCCAGGCCACTGCCTTACAGAGCAAAAGCCACAGGAGACACAGGGAAACGCGGAAACACGTGCTGATAACAGCCGACTTTGGCAGATCCCTCTCAGGCGTGAAGATCTAGTGGGCTAAAGACAGTGTGCAGATAAAAGACCTAAGCTAAGGAGCCCATAAGGAGACTTGAGAGGGGAGGATATGACCTGAGTATGTCGTGTGTGTGTGTGTGAACGTGAGTGTTGTTGTGCTGTGTCATTAATTCCCTCATAAAAGCAAGTTGGGAGATATTTTAAAGGCATTTTCTTTAAGATTGGTCCTAAGGTGGGAGGGGATGAGGAAAGGAAAGAATGGAAAGGAAAAATTATGAGAAAAGAGAAACAAAAAGGAAATGAAATCTATGTAAATAGGGAAGGGTGGAGGGGGTGAAGGGCGCACAGGGAATGGGGAAAAAATAAGAACCAAGATACATCATGTACAGGTACAAGCTCCCAATGATAAATGGAAACATGTTGTATACCTAAAATGTACCAATAAAAGAATTTAAGGAAAAAAATTAAAATTAAAAAAAAAAAAGATTGGTCCTAAGGTCCTGAGTTTATTTCCTGGTACTGGAAAAAAAGAAAAAAGATTGATCTCACTATTGTATGAAGAGTTATTATTAATGAGAGAAAAAGAGAAACCATAGGGATGTATATTTAATTTTAACCCACAGAATAGAAAACATACCTTCCCAAGCAAACAAAACATTCTCACGGATTGATCACAAGTCATACACTCGATAACAATAGTGTTAGTAGCAGTGGTAGTAACACAAAGAGTACCCTCATGGCATAATTTAATAAAAGTAGACATTATTAAGAATTTTATAAAAGTATGTAATCTGGAAATTTAAAAAGTTTTTACATTAAACAACTCTTGGATTAAAAGAAGAAATAGAAACCCCCAAAATTACTGAATTTCTAAAGAATGATGATAATAGCTGGGGACACATTTGATACAGGGATCAGAGAGAAATACAGAAGCCTTAAGGACTTTTATCAATAAAAAATAAAAGTATGAAGATCAATTAATGAAAAAATCCCAGCTCAAAGTTCAGTAAAGGAAAAGGGATACAGTAAAGTAACCCTAAAGAAAGCATAAAGAAGGAAATTTTAAAAAGCAAAAATTGATGAAGTAGAGAATAGAAAAACAGTATATCTAATTAATAAATGAAAATTCTGTCTCAAAAAATAGGATCAAACACCAGCCAATGTCAAGAGAAAGCACAAAAATACAGACTAAGAAATGACAAGGAGAAATAGCTATTGAAAGATAAAAAATATCCTAAAAGGCTATTCCATCTCTACATGACTTAATTTGAAAACCTAGATAAAATGGATGATTTCCTAAGAAAATAGTAGGTGGTCCCATTCGAAAAGTTCAACAGACCCATTTCTGTATTAAAGATAGAGAACATTATCAACTGTCCCCCCACCAGGGCCAGAGGGTTTCACAGGAGAATTCTACCAAAACCTCAAAGGCCAAAGCCCTCAAAGTTTCAAATACTCCCTACATGGTTCCAGAGAATTGAAAATGAAGGCAAACTTCCTAATTCATGTTTCAAAGTATAACATTGCTACATAAACCTAATAGAGGGAATGCAAAGGTGACAGATGTGAAATTTCTAAATAAAATCTCAGCCCAGAATCAGACTCCACGTGAAGAAATGACACACCGTGATCAAGTGGAACTTATTTCAGGAATGTAAGACTTGGTCAATACTAGGAAATGTATTAATAAGATACACCATATTATATCTAAAAATTAAATCATCATAAAGATTGTAGGTGCCAACAACACTTTTAACAGAATTCAACACCCATTCTTCAAGAAAATCAGACCACCCAAATTTAAAAGATCTGACCCCAAAAATGGGGATCTGAAATGAATCGATACTTCTCAGATGAAGAAGTACAAATAGCAAATAAATATATGAAAAAATGTTCAACATCACTGGTCATTCAAGAGGTGCAAATTAAAACAACACTGAGATGCCATCTCACTCCAGAAAGAATGGCTGCTATCATGAAATCAACCAACAACAAATGCTGTCGGGGCTGTGGGGAGAAAGGAACCCTTCTCCACTGTTGGTGGGAGTGCAGACTGGTGCAACCACTGTGATAATCAGTGTGGAGATTCCTCAAATAACTAAAGCTAGAGGTTCTATTTAGCCCAGCTATTCCTCTTCTTGGTATCTTCCCAAAAGAATTAAAAGCATCCTACCACAGTGATATATGCACTCTTATGTTTACAGCACCATGGTCTGTAACAGCTAAATCTTGGAAACAGCCCAAATGCTCATCAACCAATGAATGGATAAAAAAGAAGTGGTTTTGTACACAGTGGAGTACTACTCAGCCATAAATAAGGATAGGCTTGAGACATTTCTAGCTAAATGAATGCGTCTTGAGACCATGCTCTTAAGTGAAATAAATCAGACACACGTGTTTAAATACCCCATTGTTTCTCTGGTGTGAGAAACCAAAAGTGTAAATAAGGACCAAAATGCATAATAGATATTGGGAAATGGGAAGAAAATGTTCAACTGAGAAGGGGGACTAGGGAGGGGGAAGAGGGAAGGAAGGAAGAGACAAGAAAAAAAAAGAATAGAAGGGAAAAATGGAAACAAAGCTTTTGTAAATACGGAGGGGGAGGGGGTGGAAGGGAGGGGAGGGGAATGGGGAAAAAAGAAGCAGCAAGATACATCATGTCCAGGTACAAATTCCCCATATGAGGCCCGGGGATTTAGCTCAGTGGTTCCGGCGCCCGCCTCGCAACCACAAGGTCCCGAGTTAGATCCCCTGCATGAAAAAAGAAAAAAAAAAAAAAAAGTGAACCGTAATTATTAGTGGGAGGCACAGGGGAAAGGAAAGAAGGGAAAGGAAAAAATGATGAGAAATGGAAAAAATGGAAATAAAGTCTTTGTAAATAGGGAGGGTGGAGGGCGTGAGGGGAGGGCTAGGAATGGGGAAAAAATAAGAACCAAGATCCATTATATAAAGGTACAATTCCCAATGAGAAATGTAATTGTGTTGTGTACCTACAATGTACCAATAAAAGAATTTAATACAAAAAAAAATCCCTATATGAATATGATCATCATGTAGATTTGAAATGTACCGATAAGAGAAAATTAAAACTACCCTTAAAGTCATGTCTCAACTATGAGGTTGGCAAAACCCTGCAGCGTGCAGCCCGTGGGTGCCAGGCTCCTGGGCCCGGGTGAGGAGCGTGGAACCAACTCAAGCCTTCCGGGGGGTTTGGCGCTCCTGGGCAAGTTCTCCTTAGCACTTCCATTTCACCGCCTGATCCCGTTCTGGGAATCCGTGCTGACCTAGTCCCAGTTTTGAGGCTGGGACGTTCAGATCACGTCACCGACAGATCTGGGGGGTGTCGAGGACCTGCTTCCTAACGCCATCCCTCGGGGGTGGGGCGTCGACACGAATGTGGGAGACGCCAACTGCAGGCCGCGGCGACTTGTGCCTCCCACACGAGTCAGACACACGAGCTCTCCTTGGACTCCTAGGTCAGAAGCTGGTGTGCTTGTGAAATACGGATTTCTGACCTTCGTCCGAGAGTTACCTGAATAGAAGCTTCAGGAAGGGCCCTGGATCCTTCGTGCCCGATGCGCAAGGCCATTGCTCACGCCTCTTCCTTTCTCGGTCCTCCTCTTCCCTGCCTCTCCCTCCTTTGCTTTCTTTTCCTCTGATCTTCAATCTACTGCTGCCCTCCTGCTCTTTGCAGCTGGCTCTTGCTGCCATCTTGTGGCCGTAGAGAGAATTACACCAGCCTGAGCCGGAAGCAGGAAGGTCACAGAGGATGGGTATAGTGGGTATGGTAAAAAGCCACTGTGACGGGATTAGGGGACAGATGTGCGCTTTGAGTCACAAGCCTGTATAAGGCTCCTTCTAGCAACGTATTACCTCCACACACTGCGAGTTCGCGCCTCACTAGGGAAGAGAAGGACATGCTGCCAAAGGCTCGAAACAGCTTTCAATTTGGCTTCCCACAAGCCCAGGGACCTTGCACAGAGCCCCCTGAATTAACACAGGGGTTTTCAACACCAGGCTGTGCCATTATTGAGAAACAAATCTTTCCCATGAACCTCAAATTTAACCATTGTGGATTTTTGTCTTGGAGTTCTGAAAGCATTCCCACTGCTGAGAAATATCTTCTGTCTTAGTTACTGTCTCATTGCTGGGACAAAATAACCAACACTCACAAGTTAAAGGAGGAAGGGTTTATTTTACCTCACAGTTTGTAGAGATTTTGGTCCCTAGTCAGTTGGCTCCAAAGTAGGGTGGCATGGCAGAAGGGCATCACAGAGGAGACACTGGGCTGGGATTCAGCTAAGTGGCATTGCACCTGCCTGACAAGCACAAGGTCCTGAGTTTGATTCCTGGTACCAGGAAAAAAAAAAAAAACAGGAGAAACAGTCCATGGCAGGGTAGGCAGTAAGAGCAAGTGAGCCCCTCCTTTTCCCTTTAATTCCATTCATCCACGCCCAGAACTATGCTACACCAATCTGGACTAATCTAGTACCATACACCTTTAATCCCAATATCACACATCCATGATCCAGCCACCTTTCAAAGCCCCACTTATGAGTGCACGAGGCTTTCGGGGGACATCTAGATACAAGCTCTAACACCTTCCAAGATACTCAGGCAGAGGCCCTCAAAAATAAACAGAACTGTGTTGCTCATGGATTAGAAGACTTAATATTGGTAAAGTGAGAATTCTACCCTCAAACAATATGCAGATTTAATGTAATCTGGAACAAAATCCCAATGGCATTTATTTTGCATAAATGGAAAAATTCATATGGAACTTCAAAGGATCCAAAATACCCAAGATAGGGGCCGGGGATTTAGCTCAGTGGTTCTGCCACCTGCCTCAAAAGCGCAAGGTCCAGAGTTCAATCCCCAGTACCAAAAAAATACCCAAGATAATCTTTAAGAAAAAAAGGAGCGGGAAGAACTAGATGGAGGACTCACAATTTCCTAACATGGTGCTGAACTGGGAATGGGCTCAGTGGTAGAGCCCTTGGCCCGCAGGCCGCAGGCCCCGGATTCCTTCTCCAGTACCACAAAAAAA